CCCAGAAAGTGGAGGGTGGGCCAATTGCCCTGCAGAATTGACTGCCGCCAGCTCAGATGCAGTGGAGGATGGTTTTTCCATATCCCTTGGCTATTTTAGCTAAACTCTGTGGTGTCTGAAAGAGCTTTGCTAGAGAAGGACAAATCAATCAGTTTTGCTTTTGCTCAGTTTCTCTTTGGCAACCCGTTTCCCCATAAAATAATGCCTCCTGGGGTTTAATTTAACCAAATATATGAATCCATTTGTGCATTTCTCCTGTCTCTACATAGTCATCTGCAGTTTTTGGGGGGCGAGCCAGATCTCCTAATTCTGAAAATCCATGGGTGGATTCCAATTTGCCAGAATCAAATCTGGTAACTGGGCAGACCAAGTTTCTTCTCTGTTCCTACCTTCTGACTGCATTTGCTCTTAAACTGGTTGGTGAATTTACTGAGTCTGTGCAATACATTGAAGCAGACGTTCACCCAACAGGCTAGAGTTGCAACACACAGACAGAGAGACCAACACAATGGCCAAAGTTTGCAGTTGCTTGATCTTTAACTGACCTGGTTAAATGGGTTCTTTAAAGGCTGAAATCCACTGCTACTATCCGATCTCTGAGATTAGGAGGAACATTGTTTGTGGGAACCACCTTCTAACTAGATTGGTCTGTAGTTCTCTCTACTGAGCTAGTGGTTAGAGACTGGTTAGCGAATGGTTAGAGACTGGTTAGTGGTTAGCTAGTGGTTAGAGAGAGAACAGGTGGCTCTAAGGAAGAACACCTGGTTTGCCTACAGAAGATCTCAAATTAAATCTCCCACATGTCCCAAGAGCAGCTCCCAGTCGGTTCACTGCATGAAGATAGATATAGAACTCTTAGTTGGAAAGAGGCAGTGAGACTGTCTGGCCCAACCCTGCTCTGGGCAGGAATTTGAGTCAGCCTTCCAACAAACATCTATCTAGCCTCTGTTGAAGACATCTGCTAAAGGAGATCCAATACTTCCATGAGGAATTGGTCCCACTGTTGTATTGCTCTTGCTGTTAAGAAAAGGTTCCTTCCCTCACCAAGAACCCTTCTCATTGGAATCTGCCTTTTTTTAACAAGGCAAAAGAGAACAGATCATGTCCTCTTCAGGGTGATTCAGCCTCAGATATCTAAAGAACGTTCTCCCATCTCTCCTAGGTTTTTCAGTGCCCTCCCTGATCATCCCCACTGCCCTTCTCTGAATTCCTTCCAAACGCCTTGACTCAGGAGAAGCCAGCATTCCTTTTTTTCTGGAAATATCTCTAGCAGGGTTGATAAAACTCAAACTTCCTAGGTATCCAAAGGAAGAGACCAGATCAAATGCCTTTTGTCTGCGTTTGTCCCTAATGGAACGCACGCTAGCTTGGCTGTCGATCCGCAGAATACTTAATAAGAACAAAATGAGTTTGTCAATCTGAATGAATCAAGGATTGGTCAGTGCGGTCTGGGCCCAAACTTCCATACTGAAGACATGGCTAATATTGATTCAGAATTTTTTACCCCTGTTATTGCTTTGACTGGCCTCGTTCTCTCTTTCTTTCTGCTTTTAATGTAGCAGACAAATTCTGGAGACTGACTCTGGCAAGGGGGGGAAGCCTTAATTAAAAAGAAATTAAATAGAATTCAGTCTGTGTCGGCAAATGCAGACAAAAGCTGGGGAGCAGGAGGAAGGCTGCACTGGGGAAAAAAATAGGAGCATGCCACGAGAAAAATACTGTGACAATAACATGGAAATTCTGGGGAGTCAACCAAGGCTGGAAAGAATGTTCCTGACACTAAAGATGTGGAATTTACTTAGGCAGTATTAGAGGTTTAGTAGGTACTGCAGAGGAAATTTACATATGTGTATATTTTTTAAAGTGATGCATTACTTCAAAACTAATAACTTGAATTACTAAATTACTAAAATTAATAACTTGAATTCCTCTCTGCTCCTCTTGTTCTGCTTCCTCCCCAAAAGCTGATAGCACGAAGCTGTTTTTTCTAGTATTACAGGCAGACTGTGTTCTTACAACCCATTTTGCCCAGAATTAATGATTTTTCTGGGTTCCCACAAGACGTTAGTGGAAGCTTTTTGAGTGATAGAGGCCTTGATGGGACACAAAATTATCTGTGCACCAAGTTTAACTTTTCTCTTAGAAGATCTTACTTCTTGTTGTGAGGTAGATTCTTATTTAATCTTACAAGGGCTTGTTTTTATTCCTTCTCATTGCAGATAGGCGTGTCAAGCAAAACCATCCAATATTTATTTATTCATTTAGAGTATGTACATATTAAGGATAAGATTCCAGGTGAGTAAAACTAGAATGAAAGAACAGAGATGGCAAAGAAGCAGATTTCAACTAACTCTTGGGAGAAATATCCAAGCAGTTTAGGATTCTTGGACCATAAGATGGGCTGCCTCAGCAGGAGAGAATTGAAGCCTTATTTGCTGGAGGATTTTAAAGAAAGCCATTTGAATGAGAAACTCCACAGCTGTTGGCTAGACGGGGAAGTCAAAAAGCATCTGAGAAGAGGACAGTGTCAAACCTCTGTTGGAGAAGGGAAGGGAAGGGAAGGGAAGGGAAGGGAAGGGAAGGGAAG